TCCACCTCCTCTCATAAACACTTAATGCCCAGCTCTTGCTACCTCGGGACTCACGGTGCTCCTCCAAGCTCCTCAGAAACGCTTATGACGGACGTACACAAAGGCCAGAACCCAGTTTGGCGACTCGAGAATTATTTGTTCTAACACCGATATATAGCCAATGTTATAACTAAGGTCTGTGAACAAATATTACAATAATAAATCACAATATTACTTCTGACGGTTATTGCTGACTTCTTTCTGAACAGCGACCGATGAGACGATGACTGGTGTATTGATGCTTCCGCGAAAATTGGGGAAGTTGGTTTCGAGCAAGCAACCGTGAACTGATCGTTCAATCTTCAACTACATTGACACTCCCCGGCAAAATACGGATCCATCCCTTTTTCCCATCACAACCAATACACGTTGACTTGGATGGCATTGCGAGAACCTGGGTTACACGGACAGAGCTGAAATGGAAAACAAACAGAAAAGCCAACACACCACAAGCATACTCACAGCACAATCTCACACATCAATGACGACCTGCGCCTTCCAGTTAAAGGCATCCTCTTGCAACACAATCGCCACTTGCTAGAATTACTCTTGCAGAATGCAACGTGACCATAGCACCACCCCATGATACTCTACGCACATCCTCTTATCTACTCACTACCAATTATCACTGCAATCACTTGTCACTCATTCTGCCTCAGTTCTAGTAGCGGTGACGTATGCAAGCCTCAGTCGTCTACACTCTCGCTACCCGGCGTGTGGGACCGCAGCTAACAATTATCTCTGTATGCATGTCATTCTCAGCAATAGCCTCCCCGGCGTATACGACCCATCTGCTGTCCTCAACATCGATCAATTCATTCATGGATGTAGAAGACTCGAAACAACTTCAGAAGTAATCACGACGAAAATTTTAACAAAATTCCGCAATAACAACAAGGTACGAAAACAACGATTAAACGCAGTGAATCCAAAAAACACCAATTGATATGACACACCACACATATATACAAACAGTACACACAAACTCGCGGATCGTGTCTCGATGGAATTCCTTTGAAGAATTGCAGGACTTACACCAGTACGCCTACAACCCTTCTCAGGTTAACGATTGTAAGTTGTGGAATGTCCGGACACAAGCAAGATTAACCAACAATTACATCAATTGGAACTCACACAATTATTTAACACAAACATATGTACAATCACTACATCAAATGTTGTGGATTCCGGAGTGACAAACTACCCTTGAAGAACTGTAGGACTTACAGCAGTACGCCTGCATTCCTTCTCAGGTTGATGATCCAAGTGGAAGTCGTACGGACACAAACAGAATTCCCAACAGCTAGATGACAGATGATATCAATTCAGTATATACAATATGAACATATGTACAAAATCACACACTAAGAACATTGGACTGCTCATTGATGCGCTACCCTTTGAAGAATTGTAGGACTTATAGTAGTACGCCTACAACCCTTCTCAGGTTGACGCTCTAGTTTGGAAACTCGTCACAGAATTTTTTTAACTGACTTCCTTCTATCATCTATATCCTGAAATCTGTACGGTAACACGCCCATGTGGATATGTCGTAGAATATAGATGACTAACAAACACACGACGTACCTGATCAACCAAGCGTAGGCACAGAGTAATTTACACGAAAGATAATAGCATTCAAATAGTAACTTGAAACTAGAAATGCCTTTATTCATGCAAGTGAATTTAACAATTACTCTCTCCTTTACACTTGGCTTATCCTCACTAAACTGACCAATATCTTTCGTCTTTTCAAATGCACCAATACTATCATAGTCATTGCACAAGGCACTTGAGTTGATGGGCGTCTTCTTCCTTGTGGATGACAACACCAACGACGACTGGTTGATACCAGTTGATGAATCTAACGGTGGATCAGAAGCTGTTCTTGTTCGGCCCTCAGAAATTTGTTTGACTGCAAGACTACCACCACTGCTGTCTTTCACTACTAGTTCTGGTTTAGCACTATCATCTGATGATAGGTGGGCTACACGCTGATCAATTACACTGACGGTCTCACAAGTATCCATACCTTCTGCAACTGCATCTGCATTTGATTCCACCTCACCTTCAAGTTGTGCAGAACCTTTATTTAACTTAGCAGTAGTAGGCATTCCTCTCATTTCATCATGATCAACCAAAGACAAATCTGCACTATCATGATCATTATCACAAATATTCAATTTACCATCATCTATCTGGTCGACTTCATCATTTTCAAACTCTTTATTAACGGCAGTAGATGATTTGGGTTCCTCCTCACAAATCCCTAAAGATTTCATACCTTCACTCTGACTAGTAATACCTTGTAAACTTGTGGAGTCAGAACAGTACTCTGAAGCAGCAACTCTATTCTGTGACACTCTATTCAACAATGGCTTACCAGTTGCAACTACAGACTTATTGACCAAACCGTTATCGTCACACAATTCGGAGTCAGGCCTGGAGTTTACATTTAGCTTATCACTGAACTTGCTCAGTGGTTCACAGTTCACCTTTGTATGCACCTCTTGCAAACGTGTAAAACACAACCGTGTTTGTCTTGCATCTTGTAACTTATCTGTTGAGGATGTACTACGAAACCTATTGCACTCACTAGGTCTATATGCATTATTAGACATCATGGGGCCTTCTCGATATCCACCTCTCTGAGGCCCTATCGTCATCAATGATTGCGTTTTACCCTCAGACTGCTCTAATCTAGGGGTGAGATTCAATATACTGGCAAACTTGCTCATAGATTGATTGACACTATCTTTCACTAGTTTCAGGATATCATCGAACTTTGGCTCGATATCTTCATCCTCTGTACGGGAGCTTATCTTCACCCACTTCCTTTGCAATCGAGTAGGTAGGCGTCTCGCTATTAATTCTGGGATAAAACTGGAGTTGAGGTCACTCATGCAATTCATCGAAATCAACAGATTATCCAAAAACTCATATAGTGCCTTGGAGTCATCTTGTAATTGACCACCATTACCCTTAACAGCCTCGAATAATTTCCCTACAATCATAGAAGGTCTCTCAAAACTTTGACGTACTATGCTCATAGCCTCATAGTACATTTCTTTTGGCTTCATAAAGTTACAGCACTGTATAGCTCTTGAAGCAACTCCAGTGCAATACCTCATCAAATACATCAATTTCAATTCATCACTTAATAGAAAACTACTAAGCATGATCTCAAACTCCTTTACAAATTGTAAATAATCAGCCGGGTTTCCATCGAAACACCGTGGCTCACATTTAGGGAGTTTGATAATCCTACTATCCACAACTCCTGTCGGAACAACTAAAATTCAAAAACCCTTCTCACGAGAAGTAAATACCCACAAGCAGTAGAAATCCATTAATTCATGCGTCTAAAGCTTATGTATTTTACTCCCAACAATGACATTGCAATTCAAATGAGATAAACAAATCACTGATTTCAAAATAACACATCAATGAACTATTATTCAAGGATTCTGCACACAACAAAGTAATGTACGAAAATTGACTTCAAGCTTTATTTTTTTCCCAGGCACTTATAACCCATCCACCAAAGACCTGGTTTTTTGTTAATGCAAAGACAATACTTCTGTATTTCCTGATGTGTTGCACTCACTGATAATCTAGCAGATTTTTCCAACTATGCACAGAAATGATTGTACATAAGTGAAGAGGATGTTTTATACTATTGGGATTGTTATTTATCAAATGTATGTATAATCTCCAGTGTACATGTTAAACATATTTTGCTATCGATTGTAAAATGTGACTGAATAATATGGTTCTATTTCTGTAACAATTTGATGATGCCTGTAAACTGGTGTCCCTCATTTACTGTACCATGAGAATAAAATTATTTATTTATTTATCCCTAGACGGCGAAACAGTAACATCAACCATGTCATGCTTATTTTCAGACACATTGTTACAGGTAACAGACAAGTCACCATGACTTACTTTCCCGTTTGCATCCAAGACCTTTTGGAAAGAGTCCAAAGACGGCAACAAAAGGAGTGGTTGGTCTCCGAAATAAATCGTATGATGAAAAGCCGAAGAATTTCGTCCTATTCACACTTAACCACCGTAGGCTTATGGGGTGCTTGGTTGCTGCCTACAGGGTAAATGACCAGAATCACCCAAACATAGGTGTTTCGTCATTGAGTAGGCATAGGCTTCCTTGTGGAAGTCCCAGGTGGATAGCTCACCAGAGGGCAAGGACCCAGGTGCTCTCCCACTTCTTTTCACTGAGGATTTGCTGTCCCTGTAATTCCTTACCGGCAGATGTAGTAATGGCACCGTCTGTAGGCAGAGGCTGGACAATCATGCAGTGATACAACGACTGAGCCCAAATGGCCTATCTCCTTAAAATCCCACACACCATTCATGCGTAGACCACTAAATTAGTCGTCGCATTCCTTACAATCTCTCCCGTCTTACCCTCCTCACTGGTCCATCTACTATATCTACACTTATTATTATTGATATTATATACAGATGTGTATTTGTATGCATATATACATATTTAAACTTCAAATATAATGAGCTGTCTGTTGTTACGTTTACTTTATTTCTTTTCGTGTCTTTTAGTCTGAATAACCTACGCTAATTATATCTGTTATTATTATCCCTTTTCCTCTAACGACGATACCGGAGGGCTAACTGGTGAAAGGATCAACTTCATTCACAGTAGTAACAAAGTCTTAGCACACCGTACAAACAATATATAATTAATCCCAGCACTACTCATTTTGGAGTCAATCAAAGCTACGACAGTCGAGTGGCAGGACGAGCCATGCCGAAATTTACCGAAGACAAGGAACCTTTACCTCAAAATCAAGAAGCGGGCACAAAGAAATCAAATTGGTTTATACTAGCCCGTTAAAACGGTATTGGATATTGTACAATATTGCATATCGGATTAACCAGTGCAAATTATAAAATACTTCTAAGATATCGCGCACTCCGGGCATATGGACTATTCAACTTTAGCAAACAAATTGTTGGAATTCCGCGTAAGAAAACACTGCAGGTTCTTAACTATGACTTAGGCCATAGCATGCGACCCAGGTGCAGTTGACAGATCAATTGATGAAGAATATCTCAGACGGTACAAATGGTGTGAAGAAAATAGACAGATTGGCATAAGAAATGCTCGAGAAATGGAGGCCAGGAGAAAAGGAAACGCAGTTAGGTTGAATTCTCAAAAGCAATACGAATGTAATCTTCTTTCAAAAATGAAATCCGTATCTTATCAACTTATAATTTATTATATGTAGAACAGGAGGAAGTGAGGAACATCCTGAAGGAAGAACAAAACAAAACAGAAGAATCTTTGGCCGCAAATGTCAAGCGAAAATTGGAAGAGGAAGACCGCATCATACACGAAAGGACAATGCTAAGAGAAACCGAGTACATGAAACTTATTTTTCTTTATTACCTATTTTAGACCAGAGCTTAGAGATTTAGCCTCAAAAATAAGGGCAAAACTTGTGGGAAGAATACTTGAATCACAGATCCACTCCAAAAGGGTTGAGAAAATGAATGAAATAGTACGTCCTAACCTGTATTTACCTTAAAGTCGTAATTTTTCTCACGAATTGGAAAATGATAGACGAAAACGAAAGGCTTTTCAATTTTCCTTTTATAATCAATCACAGTAGTTGCTTTTTAAAAAGCATTTGACAAACAGAAATTTACCTAGATAATAATAAAACAAAGAAATTGATTGAAATGGTGTCAAAGTTCACTAACTCAGATTCACATAATAAGGAGAGTAGACTCTTCTGACCTATGTTAATCCTTGCAATATGTGCCTTTGCATAGATATGACTTCTCATTGAAAGTTTTCCTAGATGGGACCGATACTAGTTGATTGGGTGAGGAGTTAAAGTTTCTGACAAATGTATGAGACGATCTAAATTCCACACGTATTTCATTCGTTCACCGTTTGAGCCCCTTTCCGTGGTGACTTTGCAAATATATCCTAGTAGAACAGGAAAGGCTAGGAAGGTCAGTTTCCAAATAACTTTTCAGTAAACGATATGCCAAAATTTCGTGAACTCTACTCCTTTAGTATGACAATGGCGAGAGATTTAAATGCTCTATCCTCTTCTGATAAGGAAGATGTGAGATGCCATTGAGTCATTTTGTTCCTACCCACTCTAATCTTTCCAAGATATGTGCCTCCTTCTTGAAGAAGTGACTAGTGAGGCCTGACACATGGTGCCAGAAATACTTTGAATGTTGACTAATCTAATCGTTTGAAAACCCTTCGAAGTGCCCATGGCATTCTAAAAGCTTTAGCTGCAGCCGCACTGCAATTTGCAGTTGTTTTCAAATCATAAGGTTCTTTCATCCCTTAGCGCCAGGTTGTTCTATGTCTCCCAAGGAGTATAACTTGTTAGACATCTGAGCTAAGTGCATAACTACTATCTTCCGAGCCTTATAGGTTAGACCATTCAGTTAACTTATCTAAATCACACTTTAATGCCGACCTATCATCGTCATTATTTACAGTTTTCCAGATCTTAATATCGTCCGCCAGTAATAGTAAAGATGGGGCAAGAATTTTTGGTGGTTCATTCACGTATACTAGGAATAACTAGGGGCTTAGTGCAGTTCTGTGTGACACTCCACTCAATACTGTTTTCCACCCTGACAGTACACTATTACCCTTCACTTTTGGCTTCTCTTCATTAGGCACTTCCTAAAAACAAACATACATAAGCATGGATCTAATGCAAAGATCTTTAGTTCACTAAGAAGACCTAATTGGTACACTTATCTTACTCATTTATAGTTCCTAACTAGCCTGACACCACTGGTTGCTCTCAGATGATTAGCGTCTTTCAGGAGCAAAATCGAAAGTTATGCCATGACAGATCTTGTGTTCCAGGTGACAGGAAATATTAACCACTTAACTGAGAAATACAATTTCAGTTTCACTTAAGGATTTCATTACAGACTTCCAGTTAACCTAATCGACGAAAGTGTAGCGGTAAATAATTCCCCAAAATTATTGACCACAGCAATCACTCATTAGATGCTGACCACCACTGTTTAAGTCGACTTGTTTAGCTGAAGGCTTCCGGTCAAGCATCCCCGCCATTTGGTACCTCGTCGTGTCACGTGAGGCACGATCACTAGCTAGCTAAGCGTTCGTCTAACGGCTTGTTTTGGCTCCTAAATATATCGCTTGGTTTGAACGATTAATTATTGGCTTTTGCTTTGTCTTTGGTACGCGAGAATAAATTAATTAGAAGTTGTTGAACGAGATATCCGTCAACCTCTAAAAAAGTATCATTGTCAGCTGAAGCGTTAAGAGTGCATTTCTAGGGTTATCTTATAATGAGAATGAAATACATCCAAACATCCGATTAAACCATCATCATTAACGTTATCAAGAACTTCTGGCATATTTACAAGCACTTATTTGTTCTGCTTGAAGTAGATATTGTGTATTATAATACGAAGTATTCTCAGTGTGAGTGAACTTTTCTATATTATAAGATTTAAAAAGTTATCTTTGATGTACCAGAGAAATAGTTTAATCGCAGATTGACGTTACTCAGAGGACCATTGGAATCTAGGGAGTACTGGACATGTTTTTTTTCTAGTTTGAGAATTTTCAACAGTTAGCACCCAGGACTTTCACGTTACGAAGTGATATCTCTGATCAATAAATCAACTGAACTGAATCGAATTGCCCATGAATACTGATTTCTATTATTTTATGAATGTTGGCGCACCACCATGACTCTGCATCCGATCTCCAGGTAGGCTCTTAGGTGCATACCACTGAAAAGTCTCGGACTAAGATGAAACGGTTCCCCAGTATTCTCTGGCTTTCATTGGTTCTCTAACTAAAGTTGATGCGAAATCGGATTTTAAACTAATGAAATCCTTAAGTGTACTAGTTTCTTATGGAGCAATTAATATATACATTACTCTATATCCATTTATGCTACTTTGCTACCAGTTAGGAAGTTGGATGTTATCAATAAAGACTCAAGAATTAGTGATTATTAGTTAGATCTCAAACACGTACAACACAACTAGTTGATAGGAGGCCAAAAAAACCTGACCGTGAATCCAAATTTCGTTGAAGACTGGAAGATGAAATGAGGCAGAGTGAGTTAGATGAGCAGTGGCAATACTATAATTAGGACGAAAATAGATAGTGATATCAGTTCTAGACTATAGATAACAGCGATTTTCTTAAGAGTGGAAATTAAGGGTAGTTTTGTTATTGGCTGACTTTGCAAAATGTATAATTACACTTAAGCTTACCTATAGGACATCATTCTCACATTTCAGCCTTCATGCTAGATTTTTATGCCATAATGGTGTCCGTCAGTCTTTCTAGCACAGTAGGAATTTCAGGAGCATTTGTCTCGAGCCGACACAGTTTGTTTACCAGTTGTGACGCCAGATTTAAGGTCGAGTTGTTTGCTATTGCATATACTTGTTAAAAATGCACACGATAGCGAAAATGCCTTATAGTGTAACAACAGAAGACAAGATCCAAGCAACAGATTGTTTATTGAGGAAATCAATGGATATTTATAGATTTTTATGTACATCATCTTTAGTTATTGTTAGCAGGGAAGCAATGTCTTCCGATTGATTGTTTTCTTGTTGAAGGTTATTTTTTACTGCTTGTGACCGTTCCTTACAAAGTTATCCATATATCTGCGAATCTTATCTGCCCACATTAAGTCTGCTCTGATCGGTTGTTGAGTTCCTCAAGGTTAGGCTTTTTTCTTGTCTTTTCTCATGACCCCGATTCAGGACGTAAACACTGACGTAAATTGTTGTCTAGAATTTTAGCTAGTAGACATCTCTTACCACAATAGCGCTCTCTACTTTAATTGGCTACTCCATTCAGTAATTTGATTGAACACCAGGTAGTAACTAACTAATGTCATGAGTCTAGCTCTTTGTTTGAAAGAGGGCGAATTATGTAATAGGTGGCTCGTCATCGCTGTACACTCCGAATTGTTGTTATTAGATTGCTGGAGGTAGTCAACACGAAGCCTTAGGCCTAAGTTTCATGCTTGTTGGCAACAGCCAACAAGACGTTCAGTTGATTGGAAGATTTCATTATGAGCTGACATCAGTTACAGAACCATTGGAAAGCCAGCTGGGAGTACTGGACAGCCAGCTGTTTCATCCTAGTTTTGGACTCTTCACAGTACGCACCCACCGAGATTCGAACCCAGGACCTTCTGGTTACATGGCTAACGAGCTCATAGACCATGGAGCCACTGGGACCCGATGCTGTAATCAAAAATAAAAAAAATAAAAAATAAATGTCCAATGTATCCTAACTTCTGCCGATTCATGACAGTGCTAAGTGGTCACGCTATGTCATGAATTGGCAAAAGTTAGAATTCATGGGCTATTGGATCGGGTCCAAGTGGCTTAATAATCTACGAGCTCGCTAGCCTTATAACCAGAAGTTGCTGGGTGAGAATGGCTGAAGAGTCCCGACCTAGGACGAAACGGCTGGTTGTCCAGTACTCCCAGCTTGTTTTCCAATGGTTCTCTAACTGATATCAACTCATAATGAAATCGTCGAACCAGTCGAACAAAATCCCTACAAAAACCAGTACTTGAAAGGTGTTTAGTTATCGCACTGTTTATGGGATCAAGACTTCCTTCCTGTAGCCATGTGATATAGTATTCCTGAACCCTTATCAGATGGGATATCCGTAGAAAGACCGGTATATCTGAGATTACAGTGATAAATGAGGTGGTCAGACTCATGATCTTATCTTTCAGGCTTCTGTAAACCAGTGAACAACTAGAGAACACTAATCTTAATGTTGCTGAGAAAAATGTTTTTCTCAGAGATGTTGAAATTCTTCTCTTTAAGATGTCGTATTATTATTCCCTTGCGTTCCAAGTGGAACATAGGGCTTCAACAACACATCTCCACTTTGTCCTGTTTTCTGGCGTCTTCATCATCTGGACCTATGATTGACCAAACTCTCTTATTTCTTCTTCACATGATCTCCTCCATATCAACCTAGGACGACCCACTCGTCGCATTCCATTTGAATTCCACCCGAAGGCTTGGCCTGTGATTTCATTCGGCGGCCGTCTCAAAGTATACCTGATCCATCTCCACTTTCTCCTATATATTTGTTGAGCAATCGGCTCTTGCCTGTTGCTTTTTTGTCAGCTAGAGTTTCTTGTTACTGATTCTTTCTGGCCATTTGACCTTCCGTATTGAGCCAGTGAAGGCACCTGTTGATAAAAGTCTGCGTCCTGTTGGAAATCCTGTTCGTAACACATTGGCCAAGTTTCTGACCCGTAAAGAAGAAAGGACTTATCATTGGTGTTGATAATGCGAATCTTGTTCCTTATTCTGAGTGCGGAAGATTTTATAAACTGGTTTCAGGTTGATGAAGGCGTATCTTGCATTTCCGATTCTGATTTTGACATCTTCGTCCATTTCACCTGTAGTTGAAACGATGCTTCCAAGATAAGTGAGGGAGGCAACCTCTGTCAAACCTCTCCTGTTTATGGTGATTGGTGCTGGTTGTCGTTGCTGTTGCTGTCGGTTGGTTATCTTCAACACCTCCGCCTTCTCTGTGTTCACCTAAGGTTTTGTTTTCTTAGCCTCTCCAGCCAGTCCATTGGCTTTCGCCTGTGAGTCTTTGAGTTTATGTGGCATTAGACATTCGAGAAGTCGTAGATATATAGAAAATGAATTTGCTGAGAAGAAACTCTTTTTTGAAGTAATTGTTATTTTCATTAAAGTCTGAGTGAGGATTGTTCATGAGTTATATTATTTCTTAGAATGTATAAAATAACAGATGAGATTGTCAATATAAATTAAACTTATTTCTTGTTTTTCTATTGTTTTTTTTCTCAAGAAACAAGAAGTAGAATGGGAGAAACAGTTACTTAAAGCTGATGCCATGGAAGAATCCTATGAAATAATGAAGTCTAAATTACGCGATGAGAAGCTAAGAGAAGAAGCCAGACAATTTACTTATGACAAGGTTCATTTTATTATAATTATTATTAATAATAATAATAACAGTTATTACTAAAATCGCCCTCTTGTGTTCCGGATAGAATACGAAGCTTCCATATAACATCTCCACTTTCTCCTATTCTCTGTGGTACTCTTTAGCCGGTCCCAAGATCGCCCACGATTCTCTAATCTCCTCCTCATACGACCTCATCTATGTTACTCTCGGACATCCCACTTGTCTTTTCACATTCGGTTTCCACTCAAGTGATGAACTAGCTCACAATGTCATTCAGTGATCTCCTCAGAATGTTTCCAACACAACTCCATTTTTTCCAGGATATTTATTGAGCAATAGGTTATTGATTGGTCCATTATCTGTCAGAACTTAGTGTCCCTAGTCCTCTCAGGCCATGTTTTATCTTGTTGTATACAATTTCTAGCGAATATCACAGTTTTATTTTATTGCATAATGTCTGAATAGCCAATAGTTTGGTTCTGCAGTCTGAGAGGAGTTACTAGTATGGAATAAAATTTGGTCAGTAATGTTAGAGTAGAATTTGTGTGGGCAACATTTTAGAGTATAATTGAAACAAAACAAGTCTGAATTGATATTCCAGAGTGAGATGCTGTGGATTTAGCTTCTGTGATTATCGGGATTTATCGGTAAGGACATAACGTACCCTGTTAATCTGATGGCCACATATCAGAATTAACTGGCACAATTCAAAAGAATGACTAGTGAACAAAGAATATTCTTTTCGATAAATTGGCCACCAGATTCGACATTTGTATCACAGTCATAATAAAAGAAATGTTAATAATAACAATATTTCCTCTTTAAATCAATCCCCAGAGGGTGACTAGAAGTGAAACTCAATAGGATGTGCATTTCGCCCTATTTTGGACTCGTCATATGGATGTATCTGCATTCCACAGTGAATAAGTGATGGTGTTCCCACCGGGACTCCAACCAAGTGCCCATAATTTCAGGCGCCAAAGGGTCAAAAATTATTCTGAATAAAAAATGGAGATGGATCCAACACACATTGGGGAGACAGGTGGGTGACATCTCACGTCAGGCCTTCCATTGGAACCCAATTGAGAAACGACGAATTGGACGTCCAAGGGGGATATGTAGGGGATACTGTGAAGAGGAAATGAAAGCAATTTGTAAAGATATCTATATGCCATACATAGAGAATTTATTGAAGGATTTAATCGAAAATGTGCGACTTTATAGAAAGTATGTAGATGAAATTGTATTCATAATTTATAAGCCTTGTCCTGCCACCTCAATTTTAAATCGAATGAATGAAGTTGAGAACAGCATATGATTTACGTCTGTAGAAGAGAGGGATAATTGTTTATCTTTCTTAGGTAATATATTGCATGATGGATGGCTTGATGGATCAATAAAACGATTTATTCATAGAAAATCTACCTGGACAGGACAGTATCTTAATTACCACAGTTTTTGCCCTGTTCGGTACCGAAGAGCCTTAGTAAGGTGCCTCTTCAGTAGAATCCAACGAATATGCACTGAAGACACACTTGATGTGGAAGAAAGAAAGTTGACGCAAACACTGGTTGGTGATACTTATCCAAACAAGTTCATCAGGAGATATAAAGTAGTCAGAACACTAAAACCCACTCTCCGACTCTCCCCTAAAAAAGACGTGTATATCAAACTACCCTATATGGGACATCATAGCAGCTTGATAACTAGACAAAGATTGAACTGTGCTATGAAAAAGACGTGTTATGCAGCTGATATCATAATAATTGAGAATGTGAAGCCAATATATAAACCATCTAAGCACTTTGAACATGCGAAAAGTGATGTCACATCCCACTGTATTTACCAGTTTGAGTGAGCGTGTGGTCACACATAGGTAAGGAGGATTCATCCACGTCTGCGAGTCAAGACTTCAGAGCATTTTCCTCCAGAAACAAATAGAATTTCCAGAACCTATTAATGGTGAGAACAGGAGATCTAGCTCCTCTATTGCGAAACACATTATAGAGACAGGATATAAAATTGACGTTAACACACCTTTTAAACCTATCTATAAAACGTGTTTGGGGTGTATCATAAACTTTGTGGAAGCCCTAGCAGTTAGAAAGTTTAAAACACCTTTATGCGTTCAAAAATAATTTGTCATCACATTAAACCTTCTGTGGTAAATTTTGTTTTGATACCAGTCAGGGTAGATATACTATTGTCCCTATTATTTGGTTTAGTGATCTTCATTGTTATTTTGACCTTCAAAGTGTCCTTTTAACTTGATCTAATTAGTCTATTTGCTCACCTCTTAACTCTTTATTAAATTTCATGCATATAAGTTCCTATGACAAGTCCATGTAGGATGGATCAGATTGTTGGGCAGATACATTACACAATTCAGACAAATTACATCTTTTAATTGCTTTGTCTAACTTTATTCATAAAGCGAACATTAATTGTTTTAAATAATCCCAAGTAATCGAAGAAGTTATGCAACCAACTGACTAACTAATGAATGATTAGTTATTTGGAGATAATCATTAGGAAACAGAAACAAGAAGAATTGAAAGTTTCTTACATTAACCGAATTGACTAGGGATTAACTTTTAAAATTTGTTAAAAATTTAATAAATGCATTCAATTACCAACGATATTCATATTGATGTTTTCAATTTGTTTTCATTAACCAGCTAACAGGTAATACACAGAAAGATAGAGATGCTCGTGCTGATAAAGAAGAATCGAAAAGAATTATTGACAGATTAGTTGCTGAAGAAAACAAGCAGATAGAAAAGTGAGTCTTCCCTTCTTATTTGTGTAATATTATTTTATTATTCACTTGGGTTACGACAGCACAGATCCATTTCATCCTGTGCTGTGTAGTCTGCAGCGGACTGTTTAGCGAGCTCAATAGATTTTTTTTTTAGATTTTTAGATTTACAGCTTGATTTCACACTGTATTTTTGGTACATGTATGGAATTTTCAGCATGGATATCGGTAGCCCGAATTTCGCAGGCCGACCATAGATATCAGGTGTGCGCCGGCGTGGGCTCGAACCCCGGACCATGTGCATGGTCGGCGAGAGTCCTAACCACTGTGCCACCGACGCACAAGTATGTGAATAAAAATCCAAGTTAATGAGATGATCGTGTAACAGTATATTATGAAAAAACACAGTAATGAGTTATATTAATTAAACGGCTACTGGGATATACAGTTAATGTCCACGACTACAAATTATTAATATAATCCACAGATGCGTTCACTGCTGCAGTTGTGTCTACTGGTAGAAGCTGTTTACTAGTTGTAAAGTAGTCTTCAGATCAGGATAAGAGGTTCCTGCAAATATCCAAGGAATACAACACGGTTATGAGTAGAGCAAGCAGACGGTATAAACGAGCGAGAAGACGAAAAGACCAATTGTATTTCAGACTGTACTTGGAAGTTATCTCTATTCCAACATGAATCGTTTTAAACAAAAGTCATTTACAATATCTCTAATTTCAACATCGAACAAAAAGTGTACAGTAATACTGTTACGCACCCCCCAACCACCCAGCTGTCATCTCCTACTCGCACCACTTCCGCCATCTCACCATTGGAGCAATGCTCAACTCATCGTTTCCATTTCCAGCTCCACTAGAAAGACTGGGGTGAGATGTCGTCCGACACTCTCCTTAGTGTATGTCTGACCCATTTCCATTTTCTTCGGGATATATTTTTGAGCCATTGTTTCTTGAATGGTTCCTTCTGGAAGTTTCTTGTTGGCAGGTTTTGCGGGTCATTTTCATCTTCAATATTAGACGAAGGCAGATAGCTGTTGATAAAATCCTTGAGTGACCTGTTAGAAATGCTTTTTGTGAGGCATTGACCAAGTCTCTGACCCAACTAGAAGGAGTGACTTACTTAATATTCGTGTTGAAAATCCATGTCTTGTTCCTTATGCTGAGGAGTGCAGAAGAATTCCACATTATATTTCAGATTGATGAATGACTACTGTCTTGCATTTCTGATTCTGTTTGGTTTCGGTATCTCATCTGTGGAGTTGGCTGTAGCTGAAATGAGATGCTGATTGGATAAGTGAGTGAAGTGAAGTCTCTCAAATTCACTCCGGTGGTTGTTGTTGTTTTCCTTCGCTTATTTATGTACTGAACACTATTCAGTTGTCTTTATTCATCTCATTAGGAAGAAGTTTTAAATAATAAAGCCTGTTCCTTTGATTATCTTCGTCAGACAAAATGGAACAGAAACCTCTACCTATAAAATATTCGCTTTTAATCTGGAGGCTTCTCTTCACAATTGTAGACAGACTAGATTTACATGATATTATTATTACTATTTATAATTATTGTTTCCTTCAGTTCCTAGAGGATTACAGGTCTTCAGCCACACGTTCGGGTTTCTGCCAACGTTTTCACCTGGCTCCACGTCTGCTCACATGCTTTCATCTTCTCTTCACATTACCTCCTCCATGTCACGATCTCTGCTTACCATTCGGGTTCCACTCGAGCAATGGCCTGTCGTGTGATCTCATCTGATGGTTTTCTCAGAGTATGGCCAATCCATCTCCATTTCTTTCTGATTATTTGTTGCACAACCGGTTCCTGGTTGGTTTGCTCATTGCCAGACATCCCAGTTGCTGATGTTTTCTGGCCGGTCATCCAATTTTGAGCAGTATTGAGTGAGGACAGCTGTTTATGAAGGTCTGTAGTTTTTTCGAAGCGCCCTACGTAATACGCCTAGTCTCTGATTCAAAAGTAGCTCTGACTTCAAATTGGAGTGTAAAATTCAGATTTTATTTTTCATGCTGAGTGCTGCTGATCTTCATACAGACTTGAGAGAAAGGAAAGCTTGTCTTGCTTTCCCAATCCTCGTATTTTGATATCCCCATCAGTTCCGTCCTTCTGTAGTTAAAACGGTGCTTCCGAGGTAGGTAGGTAAAGGAGGTTGATTCTTTCAGATTTCTCCCATTTATGCTGATTGTTGTCTGTTGTTGTTGCTGTTGCTCTTGGCCGGGAATCTTCATCACTTCTGTTTTCTCTGTTTTTACTTGAAGGCCCATCTTCTCTGAATGCTTCTTCTGCCAACTTGTTTCTTTTCACTTGCACATCTTCCAGTTTTTGGGAAATCTGACATATATCATGGGCGAAATCCATATCCTCCAAGTATCTTTGTGTGGGTCTATTACAGGCCTGTTTCCTCGCTGATCGCTGTCTGTCGCGTTATCCAGTCTACCGCAATCAGGAGAATCATTGGAGACAGTAGGAAGCCAGCTTTTCTTACTTCCGTCTTCACTTTGAGGGGTTCCACGAGTTTCCCGTTGTAGATTACCTGGCACGTAGCATTATCGTACAACTGTTGGATGAGATGTATAACTGTTGGCGGCACCAGAATAACAGATTAGCTATTTTTATTGTTCCCTTGACTTCCAAGTCTAAAGTTAGGGTTCAGTAACATCTTTATGCTCTACCCGATTTCCTGTGGTCTTCTTTAGCTGGTCCCACGATTCCACACAGTCTCTCACCTCCTTCTCATACGACGTCGTCGACTCCACCCTCGAACCAACGCCTAACTCTTCATGTAACGTTCGGGTTCCCCTTGAGTGACGTCCTGGCGTGTGAAATCACCCGATGGTCTCCTCAGTATGCTTTCAATCCATTTCTTGATTGGCTCGTTTCTTTCGGGCCTTATGTTCATCAATATGGAGCCATTGAAAGCAATTGTTGATGAGAGTCTCCATTAGCCTGTTCGAAATGCCAAGTTTTTGATCCATATACATATAAACTGATTGACTGGGCATTAGTGTTGAAAAACAGAATTTTATTCTTTGTGCTGAATACCAAATTAGGGATTATTCAGCTACAATATGACAAAATAAATAGTGTTTGTGTGATATGTCATCTAGGATATCCAGAAAAGTTTATAAAAGCCAACACTGGTCATAAAAGTAGTGAACATGAACTATTAATAATAAAAGAGAAAAGTTATTATTTCGACGTCAAAAATTCAAAGGATGAATGTAGATACAGATATTCTATCCCAACATGCAACTATAACAATAAAGAAGACTTTATACGCTGCGTCAGTGGCACAGCGGTTTGGACGCTCGCCGACCATGCACATGGTTCGGGGTTTTGATTCTCGGCCGACGCACATTCGATATCAATGGTCGGCCTGCTAATTTTGGGCTGCCGAAATCACATGCTGAAAATTCCATACTCGTATCAAAAGTACCGTGTGGAGTCAAGCTATAATAAAAGAAGTCATTCAATATTCACCTCGAAGTTGGAAGATATCTTACCTAACCTTAGCTCTTCCTCATGCATATACCATTTCAGCCATTCCTGTAGTTCAAGTCATGTATAGCATACGATTAAGAAGGTTCTGATATGTATATATATATATATTTATGTGTGTAAGTTGGTCTCTCTTTCTGTTTGCTTGCTTAGTCTGTGACCATTTCACTTTGATGAACCTGTCTCCTTTATCAATGTATATTCCCCTTATATTATATATAATATGAGTGTTTGTTGACAGTGGCGCAGATGCATCCACTCCCTGTGACTTATGATCTCCAATGAAACTGTTTTGTTATTCTTTATTCTCCTTTGTCTCACATCTCTTCTCACTGTTTCTATTATGCTTTTCTTGTACTTTCTTCTCTTGCTTCGCGTGCTACACGGAATGTGGCGACTTGAACTTCCGCACATTTGGGCAAAGTTCTATGTCGAAAACAGACAGACAGAGACAGTTTGTTGACAGTCCGTTGCTTGGTGACATATATCCATATTATATGTGTGGTTGTTGACATGTTTGCTATATTTTGCTATGTATATATGGATCGACACTCCATTATAATTAGCCATTCATGTTAAGACTGTCTATTGATTTGTTCACACACTTGTCTGGACATTCATATATATTTCGCTCTCACAATCTTATGTGACTACTCTTTTGGTGTGATACCACCTATTGCTTCTCCTGGTGTTTTGGAAAATAGAAGTATCATCGCAAACCTAGCGGTCTTCTGATTTCCGCCCTCTTGCGTCAGGACTATTAAATTCCCGACCAGTACATAGCAATAATTTAGCGACGAGAACATAACAGGTTCATCTGCGGATTTGAGAACATTTATTTAAATGTAGAACTTAGGCACTGTGGTGGTAGAATGTAATTCCATATTTTCTTTTCCTTTAAGTTCCCAGTGGAACATAGGCCCTCAAGCTTGTAGCCTGAAGTTTCCGTAGCAGTGTTTAATTTTACAGGATGAGGTTGCTAGCCTCATGCCCAACCTTACCTCTTTACCAGCATTATTTCTGGCTTGGAGAGGTAAAAGAGTGCGTCTGTGACCGGGTATCGAACTCCAGACCATGTGCATGGTCGGCGAGCATCCTAATCGCTGTACCATTGGCGCACAATTCCTCTCTGTTTCTGTCTCATCAGCTTCCCTTTGTTGTTTGTTGCCACTTTATATATCTCCGGTATAAGCCTTGAGTTATTCCGATTGCACGTGTGCAGTGTTGACTCAATAAACAAAGCTTCAGTGAATAACCTCTCTCTCCACCTTACTATGTTACTTTTTAATATTCTCACCCTGTTCAACGCATCCTACTTTGTGATTACATGCAAATGAATGCAGTGCAATAACAGAGCTCTGTTTTTTACAGGTTATTTAACCTATCAGGGTCTATTATTCAAAGTCTAGCTAGCTAAATTTTTATGTTCCAATAATCTAGTTAACTCCAATCTCCTAGTTTGACTTATTTAGTTGACCGCACAGTCAGAATTACATGGTATTTGGTAAATTATATAATTTTTCTTAATTGGATCTATTGGGTCCCTAAGCCGACAAAGCTTATCTCTGAGAGAGTTGATTGGTTGGTTAGTTTAAATGCCAACCTAATTCTAGCTTCATTTAGGATCCCACATAAGGCCTCTGGCATTCCTTCTTTATATGGCAGTACTACAGAGGCTTTGAATTCTATATTATTTTCATCATCTTTATTGCTATTCTTATTATTTTTTTATACGTCTTCATATACTTCTGAATAGATTCTAGTGGGTGGTTGTTCACCAGTAATAATTCCTTTATTTGTTCGATTTGCTTATTTAAATTTTCTGGCCTAGTAATTAGTTAGCCACTTGGCCCGATAATACAGACATTCAACTAAACCTACCCTTGGTTACAGGATTTCATTATGAGCTGACATCAGTTAGAGAACCATTGGAGAAGAAGTTGAGATTACTGGACAGGCAGCTGCTTCGTCCCAGTTTGGGACTTCTCTTCACTACGCAACAACCCCCCTGAAGTTCGAACCCAGGACATTCTGAGTAGAACGCAAACTAGTTCACAGATCATTAAGCCCCTTGGACCCGGTCCAATGGCCGGTCTATGAATTCTAACTTCTGTCAATTCACGACGTAGCGCAACCGCTAGCCAATGTCTTCGGCGAGTATTTGTCGTCACACCCGACCTGCTGCACTCTACTAGGCCATTGGATCGGTTCCCAGTAACTTAGTGGTCTATGAGCTCGCTAGCCTTATGGCCAGAAGGTCCTGGGTTCGAATCCTGTTGCTGCGTGCGTGCTGTGAAGAGTCACAAGCTAGGATGAAACAGCCGTCCAGTACTTTTTGCAGGTTTTTGAATGGTTCTCTAACCTATGTCAGCTCATGATGAAATCCTGTAATTGATCAATCAGATCCCTACAAATGAATAGTTATCATTTTATCCTTACTGATTCTGGATGGAATGAATTACGGCCTAAGTATTTATTAGAGTGTGTCGGTTACTTATAACAATTACCAGGACGTTTCAGAAAGCCGGAGTCTTGATATCTTCCTTATTTGTTATCATTTTCCCCGAGTATATTTCCATTTTCAGAGTTTTACCTCATTGATTTTTGGGTTTTCCTACTTCACATTATTTCCCCATTGGAAATTTACTACAGTTCATATTTGTTTTAATAAACAAATTGATGATCTCCATCTTTGTTTTTTTTCAAACCGCTAAATTGAATTACTCATTTTTTTTCAGGGAAGCAGAAGAACGTAAACGTATAAATGAAAGAATAAGAAAAGAATATCAAAAATTTATTGAACAATGTGAAAAAGACAAAGCTAAAAAAGCTGATGAAATTGAATTTGAACGTCAATTGTTAAAAGAATTTAGCGCCTACAATAATCGTCTAGATGAAAGGAAACAAGTGAAAAAAGATAGAATTAATGAACGAATTAAAAAACAGGTGAGATGATAAATGACTCATTGTGTTGTTTTATATATTTTAGCTATTCTACAAGAATGGTTTAAGTCTAAAGAGTTTATAAAAGTGGAAGGAAGGAAAGATGCTTGAGGATTTGAAGAAAGCCTGACTACTTTGTCAAGCTATCAAGGAAGAGCAACACTTAAGCTTCACTCTGAAAGAAATGACTGGCATGAATTGACGCCCTTATCCACACCAAGTAAGATACTAAATCGTGTCATCCTGGAGAAAAGTAGAAATGCACTGGATACAGAGCCCCACCAACATCTCCTGAACAAGCTGGATTCAGGAAAGGCAAATCATGTGATTAAGAACACAATTTTCAGCGAAGAGACTCTTTTCAACGAATTTATTATCAAGCTGTACAATCGTATATATATGGTTTTATAAAGAAATTATATCCGGTGAGGGAATTAGGTCAAAGGTGTAAATACATGAAATAATAATAGTATGAAATAAATTTAAAATATTTGTGATAAGGTTCATAGTTTAAGTCAAGTGGAACAATAATTAATGTCATATATAAGATAATACATCAGGTGTATAGATTTTGGGGAGTGGCATATAATTGTAAGATTAATAGACGAATGTAAAATGTTACGTAACATGGTGTGAAATTTGATAACATAGAATTTAATATTGTAAAAATAAAGATAAAAAGTATACACATGAATAATTTTTGGTTTAAAATGTCAAGTAGATCAAGTGGAAAAGATTCAGAATGAGAGTCGTAATAATAATAATAATAATGATAATAATAATAATAATAATCGAAGTAATAAGGGAAAAGTACATAGAATAATAAAATAAATAAATGTCTATCCCTCTACGGCCAAGGCAGCAGTAGGGATTGTACATACTTCTTTTGTACACAAAGGTCTGGCTTAAAGTCATGAATTGCTAAGGCCTCAGCTGTCTTTAGAAGTCTGTAACGAAGAAAACGCGGGAAGTTGGCATGAATTCTATATATGACCTTGAAATCATGGTCAGGGTTGACCGAGTGACAGGAGTCGATGAGGTGTTCTAAGATAGAGCTTCGCACACATTTCCTTTCTCCCTTGTAAAACCAAGCTGGAATATGTTCTCGTATCCGTGTGGAGAGCATTCTCTGACTACGGCCAATGTACCTTGCTCCACAAGAGCAGGTGAATTGGTAGATGCACATGGAGGCGGTCAGACGGGGGAGCTTATCTTTTACAGAGGTAGAGAACAGTTTGCGGCTCGTGAACGTCATATGTAATCTAGCTGCAGGGAACGTTTTACTAACTGATTTAGAAAGACGATTTTTGAGCATATCAGAAGTTTGATCTCCTTTGAATTCCAAGTTCACGAATAGGGTTTTCTTTGTGATGATCATGTGATGATCAAATTGTAATTCTAGGCATTTTCATCGAAGAACAAAGCAAAGAATGGAAGTCAAACCTGTACCTTAGTTTTATCGACTTTGAAAAGGCCTTTGGCAGACAGAGGTGATCGAGAAGTGATTTAGAAACTACTTTAACACTACGATTTTCCACAAGTCTATATCAAGCTCACTCAACAGCTAGCTATATGACAATGCCTGCAACGTGTCGGCAGATTGACAACGGAAAACTCAACGAGGCATTCGAAGTGAATATAGGAGTTTGATGAGACCTCCTGCCTATTATCACCTGTGATGATATTCTTGATTGTGGTGGACTGGATTATGCGTCAGACTGTGTGTTGAGAGTGAGAAGACCGCAATACGTTGGACCCAAAAGAAGACTTCAGAAGATCTAGATTCCGATGACGATTTACGTCTAATTTCACACAGACCAGAAGAATTACAGGCGAAAACCCAACAAACTGGCTGAAAAGGCGAGGCAGGCAGTGAAGGTAGGATTGCAGGTGAACATAAAGAAGACAGAGGTGATGAAGGTAACCAACCTACCAACCAAAAGCGACAACAACCAACAACAATCACCATCAACGGGAGAGATTTGACAGAGGTTACATCCTATGCTTATTTAGGAAGCATCTTTCAAACTACAGGCCGAAAACACGGATGATGTCGAAGCCAGCCATAATCCGAAAGACAAGATATGCTTTCATCAACCTGAGACCAGTTTGGAAATCTTCCGTACTCACTCAGCCAGCATAAAGAACAAGACTTCGATTCTGTTCAACATAAGTGTTTAGTCGGTCATTTCTTTTATACGGGTCAGATACATGACCAGAGTATCAGGAAAAGGATTTTCAAAAAGTTATAAACTTTTATCAACATCTGCCTTCTTCACTGGCTTCATACTGAAGATCAAATGTCCGGCCAGCCAGCCAGAAAGAATTAGTAACAAGGGTCCGGCAAAGAGCCAATCGCTCACCAAATATATAGGACGAAATGGAGATGGGTTGATCGAGCATACGTTAAGGAGACTGTCTAGTGACATCACGAGGAGTGGAGGCCATCAATCGAGTGGAACTTCAATGGAAAGTGACGAATGGGTCGTCATTGAGAGGGTGACACTGAGGAGATGAGGGATTATGGTCAATCATGAACCCAGCTGGAGAGGATGGCAAAAAATAGGAGAAAGTGGAGATATGCTATTGAAGCCCCCTATACTCCACTCTGAATCCAAAGGAATAATAAAAAAATAAATAGTTAAAGTGGTTACATTAATGAGATAACACTAAGTAATACAATAAATCTCAGCTAGTTGGAATCTTAAAAGTGGGCACCCTCTTCGTTTACATGCATTTTCGATTTTGAATAAAGCAAGAACAACAACGGTCTGTGCAGAAGGAATAAGATGGTACCATCATTCTTTATTTCGTCAGTTTCTCATCAGCTAGCTGCATACTGCCTAAAGAAATAATCAATTTTATGTATGGAGTAACTTTAGCATACTTGTGAATATGGCATGATATCAGCTAACTGGATACCCTCATAAACAATGCACAGAAATTGCACTAATAAAGTTTACACCCAAACAGTTCAAGTTAAAATAAAAATAAATGTTTACATACAGTGGTAGAGGAGTTGTGTAATAAAGACAATAGATGAGAAAGATGATGTGTGGCTAATAATCTGAGTAGCAATGAGGTCAGTTCAAATCAAATCAAGTCAAAAAATAAAAGACAAGCAAAATTATACTACAGCAATATCAGGAAGAGGTAAATGCTAGAGTTAAAGTAATTTTAAAAAAAAGTGGGAGTAAAGACACGGAATTATCAGAGTGAGGACAGACTCACAACTGCTTCTTTCTGAACACATTAATCGGGTTTCAGGCGTTTCATAGTATTGACTTTCTCAAACTTGAGCAGGATTGAACCATTTCGTCTACTGATAACTTTAAACAATATGACAATGTCCACTTCATGAAGTGTATCGATGAGATGTCTGGCAGTGGCAATATTGAAAGCGTTTGTTCCGTTGAAAAGTAAACCTTTTGATACATGTTTAGAAAATCGAAGTTGTGCAATTCTTTCCCTTTTACCGATCTAACTGCTTCCGCAGATACATTTAAATTTGTGTTCACAGTTGGAGTTAGTTTACATGAGAAGCATAGTTATCTGTCGACTTTTGATTGTACCAAAGAAGGTGCTGTCTGATAAGTGGGAGCCAATTTAGCTACATGATCAGCTCTGGACAGTGAGGAATATACTCAATGTTCTGCTAACTGCTCCTTTAAAGTTACCACCATTAAATTCCGGGTGAATGAAGCTCGGCTTTTTCCTCACTATGACTTATATGGACATCACGAAATTGTTTAAAATTATTAATATACAGTATGGATGAGTTCTGCGTCCGTGGTATAGCGGTTAGGACGCTAGCCAAACATGCACATTGTCCGGGGTTCGATCCCCGGCCACAGACGCACACCTTTACCTCTCTAAACCAGAAATAATGCTGGTAAAGAGGAAAGGTTGGGCATGAGGCTGGCTAGCAATCTCATCCCGTAAAATAAACACTGCTACAGAAACTTCGAGCCAATAGCTTGAAGCCCTATGTTCCGCTGGGGAACGTGAAGGAAAAAAAAATCGATGAATTCTGCATAAGTTTGCCAAGACTATTGTTATCGGACATGTGAAACCTGACTTACGTGTTCAGAAAGAAGCAGTCATTAGTCTTTCCTTGTCCCCGTGGTAACTCAACAGCTTAACTCTCCCTCTTTCATTTTACTACGTAATCTTTGGTCTTAACCTCTAGCCTCTTTTACATAGTGTATCTCTGCTTGTCTCCTCTTTCTTTGATTTGAGTTGAACTCACAAGCTTGTTATTCAATCTACTAGTTAGTCATCATCTTATTCACTTCTTTTCTTTATTACGTAACTCCTTTTCCAATGTCACCAAACTCCCATCTTTTGTTTTGTTTAAAACTGAACTTTCTGTGTATGAGCTGCATAAATATGATTTCTCAGCTCGGTTTATTAAGATACTGCCATCTTATTCTACACAAACTGTTGTTCAAGTGTTGGTTTGTAGGGATTTGATTGGTTTCAGGATTTCATCATGAGCTGACATTAGTTAGAGAACCATTGGAAAACCTGGGAGTACTGGACAGCTGTTTCACCCGTCCTAGTTTGGGACTCTTCATCAGTACACACCCGCCGAGATTCAAACCCAGGACCTTCCGGTTACAAGGCCCTATTCAGGTAGGTAGTTACCTGGGTTCCGGTGGGAAGTCGTGACCAGTAGGGTGCAGCTGGTCGGGTGTGAGGACAAATACTCGCTGAAGACATTGGCTAGCGGTCGCGCTATGTCGTGAATTGGCAGAAGTTAGAATTCAAGGACCATTGGATTGGGTCCCAGTGGCCTAATGGTATACGAGCTCGCGGTGTGCGTACTGCTAAAGAGTCCCAAACTAGGACGAAACAGCTGTCCAGTACTCCCAGGTTTTCCAATGGTTCTCGAACTAATGTCAGCTCATGATGAAATCCTGAAAACAAACTGTTGTTATTCTTAAATCATTCAAAATGGAAGAGCAAAGAGAACTATAAGATTGATATGTCTACGGTCAGTG